CTGTCACTTTCGGTCTCGGTTTCCTCATCTGGAAAAATGAAATAATAATAAGGTCCATTGCATCAAATATTGAGCCTGTACTGGGATGATGGATTTGTAACAGCTTTATGGAATTACAATAATATGTAATAAACTGCACATATTTAAGAGATAATGTATTTGAAAGAGCATTTGTTAACCATAAAGCATTGATCTTTTCCAGGCTAGGAACCTCACGGTGGTTCCTGAACTTGCGAAGACATTTTCGGTTTGGTTTTGCAGCACTTTCGTAACTTTCGGTGCCTTGTCTGGCCCACCTCATTTCTCATCATTTTCTGCAACAGACACTCCGGTAAATAAAGCCAGCCTTTACCACTGCACATTCTTCCACCTGGCTCTTCCCTGAAGAACCAACCGTGCCCTCCCATCTTTCACCACCTGCCTTCTCGTGAGCCCCTTTACTGGAGCTCCTGCTGGTTGCTAGGTACAATCCTAGGTCCTGGGGGTGCCTCTCCGAGTATGGAAGCCAAGCTCACCGCCTCCAGAGAGCGCCTGCTGCCAGAACCATAATCCCTAAGTGAATCCCTTAGCTCTAGTGCTCTCTCTCCCCTGTGAAATTCCTTTTAATTACCATTAACTAATTGTCTTCTCCCTTCCCCCTCCCTAGAACCCTTGTTCATCTCATTTAGCATGTGATTTTATTTTGTAACATTCTTACAGGTACAAACACCATATAGGTAGCTATTTTTCCTATTCTCATAACTCAAAATAAATATATCATTTATTGATTTCAGAAAAGTACATCAGAAAAACAAATTGTTGAAAAACTTTCCATGGAAACAGGACCCACTATTGTCCCTTGATGGTACCTGTAATGTGGGCTGGCTGGCCCTGCTGGGAGGACAGTACTAGCGAGGACAGACTGATTCACGGCTTGTCCAAAGGCAACTACAGGGGAAGCCATGCTCAAGGACATCTTCCTGCTGCCAGGGAAAGACAAGTGTCTCCTAGCAACCAGATTCCAGTGGTTTCCTGTCCTGGAAGCTCGCTGGTGCTCTCTGCTTTGTTGGCCATGGTTTTGCATTTTGGCCTTGCTGGTCACTGTATTACTGAAACTTTAGAGAATAAGAGCTGATCTGGAGACTAGCGTGGAGTTAAGATACCATTTCATTCATAATGTCTTTTCAGCAATTGCTAAAGACCACATTTGGTGTTAGCTTAAAAAGGGTGAATATGTTTTTAAAGATTTTATTTATATCAGAGCAGTTGGTTGGAAAGAGGTATAAAAAGGAAAAGCATGCATTCTTTCCATCAAATAATCAAAAAGTACTCAGACCTTTTCCAGAGAGATGCACTATCCTTCAATACCTATTACACCAATAAACTTTGACTTGGAAAATCCGCAGACACAGAAAGAAAGGCAAGTCAAACATGAAGAAAATAGCTCAAAATCCTTAAAAGTTTCGATGGCTTAAAATTCTGTCTGCTACAATATGAGGTGAGCATCTCTTCCCTAAGTTCTTTCTAGAGATTTCTAAACTCAGTTTTAATGTATACAGCATGCACAGTAGTTTTATTTTGGTGAGATTGAATTTAGCCTCAGATGTTACATTTTTAGTTTTCTCTTGTTATTCATCAAGATAAGTTCTTATTTAAAAATGTTTATCCCCATTTCATAGTAAAGCACTAAAAACTAACTCTAAATATATATTTTTAATTTCAACTTCATAAATATGTATTAAACATCTGATTAGTTTTCTAGCTCAAAAAGGAAAACCCGGAGATGAGACAGAAAGGTTGAATCAAGGGCTGGTAGCGCGTGCGTCAGAGCACTGGCAAACGCGTCTGTGTCTCAGCAAGGCCACCCCACCCTGGCACTGCCCTTGGCTCCTGGCTTACAGTCTGCTTCTTCTGGATTTCTAAGTGAGCCGGGCTCTGTGGAATCATGAGTTCTTAGGCAGTAGCCCTCATCTTCTCCCTTTTTTGCCTTCCTCTTTCCTAGCAGTGACAGTTACAAAGTCATGAGCCAAAGATTAATCCTAATGTTCTGTCTGTGGCTGTCTCCCTCCACCTGAGATGGCGCCTTGTCTTCTCAGGAAAAGTGCAGAATTTTTCAGGCAGCTGCCTCTGGCTCTCATCTTTCCACCATCCACTTACAGAAGCTAACTTGAATGGAGGTTTTTTTTGGGGGGGGGGGAGTGTTAAACATTCCCTAAACCCTTGGCTCTTTGGTTTCCTCTTTGAGAGTTCTGTATGATTTATTTCCAGGGTACAGAATTAGTTGTATGGTTAAGCTGAGGCTCCTGCATTATTACTTTCATTTATGCACTAAACCTTGTACATCTATCCAGGCCTCCATATTGTCTTGGACTGTTCTGCATTCCCTGTAATACCCAGGACACTTGTCACATATCTTGGCAGAATGACCATCTTTGAAGTTTCTAAAGAGCCTTTGGTTAAGAGGAAAAAAAAACTGCTCTGCCAGCCACTTGCATGGGCTCTGATTTTTTAGCCTTTAATCACCATGTAAGTCCATTCTCTGGGTGTTTTAAGACTAGTTGAAGTATGTTCAGCTTAATCATATTTTTCCAAAGTAGGTTAGGCACTCTGAATTCCCCACTGGCTGTATCCAAGAATCTGCTTGCAGTAGTGGGATGGGACAAGCTAGGCCTGCAACATGGGCCAACTGCATTCCAATCACTGGTCAAGATTCCAAACATTTCAGGGATAATAGACTTAGGTCTCAGCCACAATCATTTACATTCTATTATTATTTACATAATAATTATACATGACCAAATTGATTAGGAGCTCCAGAAAGCCAAATGGTGGGAGGCAGTGTGGAACGGCGCCAACTGCACAAGCCTTACCTTCCCATAGACTAGGTTAAACTTCTAGATGTTTCCTACCAGCTGTGCGACTTTGACTTCTATAAACCTTTTATTCTTTACCTTTAAAATAGTAATCGCGGTAACTGCCTATGTGAAGAGTCACTATTGGGATGCAAACAAGGAATGCACAGAATTTAGCGTATTGCCTGGAACTACCATGCATTGAACAATAGGTTATACCAGAGTGCTCTGATTCATGAAGCACATTAGATTATCAATTATCTGTTACCCATATGATGAGTAATATGGGGACTCAGATAAAACTTAGACTGTATTTTCTAAGAAAAGTAATAACCCAATTACCAGTTGAAGAGACCCTTTAGAAATCACAGAAGTAAAACAGAAGCTGGACCCAAGCTGTCCTGCATGCTGTCCACTGTCAGCAGAGTCAAGTCCATACCCGAGACTGACATGGCCTTCATTATTGACCCGTGAGCCATACCTGAACCAGCGCAAGCAGTCAAGGAAATAGCATTCAGCACTCACGCAACAAGTTTCTATCAGTTTACCATGCGCCAAGCCCTGAGGCAAGTGGTGGATGCAACAGTTTGCTGGGTTTGCTATGAGGAGCACTTGGGAGCTGTTTCAAGCATTTCACAGGAATTAGTATTTTTACCTTTAACAAAAGTAGGAGGGAACTACTGACATTAACCTCATTTTACACATGAACAAACTAAGCACAGAGAGGTTAAGTGACTTGTCCAAGGCCACAGGAGCAATGCAAGCAACACACAACAGAATTGAATTAGAATCAGCAGAATGACCCTGGACACCCCCCCCCCCCCCCCCCGCCAAAACCCTACACCTCCTGCTCTCTGACAGCACTTCATCTGATGAGGACTCTTCAGACCCCTAGCTTAGTTCCTCTCTGCTTTTCTATGATTCGTTCCCTGGTCGATAGGATCAGGGCTTCACTCTTTCCATACTGAAGTCTTCAGAAGGGACTGAAATGTTTCTGTGAACATAAGGTAGGCCTTTCATCGACTGTGACATCAGCTATTATGTTTAAGCCAATCTCTCTTTTGAGTAAGAATTACAAACAATCAGGTGCATTAGAAATACCTACCTAATGGGAGGTTGCTTCCCATAATCTAAAAAGACAAGCTTTTTAACTTGCAACCTACTGTAGGCTTTGAAGTATTATTGAAATTGTCCTAGCCCTAAATTACTTACAAAATTGAACTGTTGCTTTATAGCAGAATGAAAATAAATATTTTCTTCTTGATTCCTATACTTGGGCACAAATCTCCATATGGAAAACACTGAAATTCAGAGGACCACAGTCTGAATCTTGTCCTCTGCCTCTTGCAAAAATAAATAAATAAATAAATAAAGAACACAAGTCAGCAGTAGTGGAAGAGTGTTACTCAGAGCCTAATGTCACCTCCTCTCCTAGCTCTTCCACTGTTTGAGAAAGAATTTGACAAAGAGAGAAAACAAAGCAAAATAAAACAAAACACCTATTTTATATTTGCAAATGGAAAATATCATAAAAAGAAAAATGACCTACAAAAAATAAGTTTCAGCACATAAATCTTTTAAGGGATGGGACCAATCTTTCATTATATTCTTTTTAAAACCTAGACCATCACAGGCACACAGCAGATACCAGACAGGGTGCTTAGTGTTCATACCAAAATCACTCCCTTGAAGTTAAAATCCAAAAGCATCAAGAGCAGCTTCATGTACACACCAGTACACACCAGCTCACACATATGTGTGAAGGAGGCCCTCCGGGGAGAGGCTGGTACTTCCCAGGGATTTGTTAAACAATGATAGATTACAAAATCCCAGTGTGATGTGTTGGGACACACACACACACACACACACGCACACGCACACACACACATGCACATATGCACATGTGTACACAGAGGCTCACACACACACACACACACACACACACACAGATGCACACATGCGTGCACACTTGTGGAAAAATCACCAAAGTCCTCCAAAGCCAAAGTTTAGGAGAGCACGTGTTATGGATATAGCAACAGTCATCTCAAAATCACTCCATTTATGAGTCCATTCCTCATCTCTGTTATCACTCTGGCACACTATTTAGGAAATAACAGAGAACCATAAGGCTACAGACAGAAAATTTAATTATAAAACAAAGCCACCCACCTTGATTTCGGGGTCAGGAAGTACAATGGCCTTCTTTTGCAGCAAGAATGGACTTAACATCACTGTGCTACATGATTGTGCATCTATTTAGAAAAAAAGGAATTCTGTAAAAAGAAATAAAAGCTGCAGCATCTCAGTCCTCCTTATTACAAGTCTTAGAAAATAAAAACAAATCTAAACAACATAAATGCATGCGGCTCTCTGGTACAAGGCAGGAAGCGGAGTCCTCAGATCACTGTTCCCTGTTTTGCAAAAACCAAACCAAACCAAACCAAACAAGAGCAAAAGTGGTACAGGCAAGAGAAGAAAGAACCTTTAAACACGGAGCCCGACCTCCTGGGTCCCTTCTGGTGCCTTCAGTGTGGGCCGAAGAAGTCTCACGCTCAACACCAGTGTCTCCACCGCCTGCTTAAATGGCACAAAATTACACTTAGAAAAGAGGAAAGTGACTGACAACGGAAGGGCTGAGCCAGCCCCCACTGCCACTACGCACAGCCTTAGATGCCCGCACAAGGAGAATAAAAAGAAAAGCACATTTTGCAATAGAATAAGTTCTTTTTTTTATTGAGACCGCGAAAAGTCACATGACCCTGGATGTAGCCTTTTAGGAAAGCAACCAAAATGGTAAAGAAAGGAGCGGGGGCTGCCTCCTTCCTCTCCCAGTCTCTCAGCGCGTCCTGCCCGCGTCCGCATCCTTCTGGGTGCATCTGTGGAGCTATTAAGTGGGATAATCCCTCTGGCCTTTGATACATTTCTGGACATGATTATTTCATTACTCGCAGTATATCAGTAGGATCATAATAAAAAGGACTTCTGACAACCTGCCAAGAGTTTTGTGGCCTTGTAAACACAAAAGTGCTCTAATAAAATTTTATTAAGTGTTAAAAAGTCATAAAAAGTGAAATAACATAAACTACAAAATTTACTGTCCTCAGCAAATGCTGAAAATATCGTCCACAGTAAAATTAAATTAGCATGTAATAGACAGAGAAGCAGTGTGGAGTGGATTTAAAAGAGGATCCAGGGAAAATGACACTGTAACCCAATCCAGGGTCACGGGGATTTAATTCGGATTTTTTCCCCTAAATGTGAATAAATGTGCTGATTACAGACAAGAGCTCCGGGGTTACCGAAATCTCACACAGTCAATACTTTGGAAGAAATAATATATCGCAGATTGTAACGTGCGCCAGGAGAGGCGCGGACGTCCGGGGGGAGGCGGCGAGGGGCAGGGTGTCCACTAGGGCGCGCTGCGAGACCGGGAATCCACGCCGGGGCGCCCACGCCGCCCCGAGTCCCGCGAGCGCCTCGCCCGATCCCCCCTCGAAGTCATTTTTACAGTGAACTGCCCCCTCCCCCTCTCCTGTGACATTTTTCCAAATCGGAAGAAAATGAAGTGTAAGTCGAGCCTTGCCGCAGGCAGCGCTTGGTCCCTGCTTTCAGATGGGGAGCGCTGGAGAGGAAGGCGCTGTCCCGGGGCAAAGCTAGACCCCCGGGGAACCTGGTGATGACTCCCTCCCCAGGCGGGCGCCTGGCCGTCCCGCCTAGAGACCGAAGAGCCAGCGACGTTGAGGTCCATCTGCGCGCGGGGCGCGGGTGCACTCGGATGGCGCCGGTCACCAGCCGCGCGGGTTCAAGTGCGCTCGCTTCTGCGCAGGACGCCGCGACTCCGGGGACCGAGTCCTCCCGGCTCGGCCTGGCGCTGGAGTTGGAGCGCTCCGCTGCCCCGGGGACCCCTCTCCCCGCCTCCCGGACGCGCGGACCAGGAACGCGCGCCTCGGCTTGGGGTGCGGCCAGAGGAGTGCTGGCGGGGAGCGGGATCCCGCGCTTGCTGGGCCCGGCCGGATCCCGGCCACGCCACAGGGACTTTTCCCTGCCCACCGTGGAGGCTACGCCGGGGAAAGAAGTCCCACTTCCTCCACGCCGCTCGAGTGCGCGCCGCGGTCGGCAGGAAATGGCTGGGACGCGCAGCCTGCGCCTTGGCAGTCCGCCCGGCTGTGCAGAAGAGAAGCGTCTCCCACCCAAGTCTCCCCTCCCCAGAGTCCCGCGCAGGTTTGTAAAGAGGGATGCGAGGTCTCAAAAGTATCTGTCTTCCAGGGAGAAAGATTGTTGGTTACAGTGCCCAGTGATAGACGAGTGCCTTTGTAGCTGGAGAGCACCGTCGACGGCCACGTCTCCTTTTGCAATTCCAAAGTGATGCTAACGCTGCCCTCCGAGGAGTCCGTATCCCACTGTTAATTGGAAGTTAGTGAAATGGGAAATAAATGAGCAGTGACGCGTTTCATGGCATCATTTCTCCGCGGGGATGGCCAAGCTTTTAAGCGGCATTTAAGAATTAGTCACTTTTTTTTTTTTGGCCAGAAAATAAATATTTTTAAGTAAGCCCGCTAGTAAAGCCAAAAAGAGGTAAGTGAAAGTTGCCACGTATGCGCCTCCAGTTTCCTTTGGAGGCTTGTGCAAGTTACTAGGGTGAGAACGCTTTGCATTTTTAAATTTCCGGATAGGAAGAGCTTGGATTTTAAGGTGGGCAAGGTTGACGTTCAAGGGCAAACGGAGTTTTCACAGATCTCTTGATAAGCAATGTTCATTTACTGTTTCTAGCTTGAAATAGCTATAACTTACAGTGGAAATTATCTCCCCACGTTTTGATATATTTGTTATAAATTGTATGAGAAAGGTGCTTAACAAATTTTAAATGACCCTTTGTTGTCCTTTACAAAGTACTGTATTGAATTTGAAATAGGCTAAAACAGCGAGATTAAGGAAGCAAACAAATCAATTTAAATGTGGTTTGACATTTGCCATCAAAGGCTTTGAGAGCAGTAGAAACAATTAAAAGGAACAGGTACAAATAATAAAATTATATGTTTCTGTCCCTGGCAAGTGAGCAGATGATCTTGGAACTTGCCTCTGAGCCAGTGTCTGCAGACGGTGTGCTGTGTATGGTAGACTTGGGGCTGCCTTTGGAAATGTAGGACGTGCACATGTATGGAAATACAGAATCCACCTTTTTTTTAACTACTGAGAATTTTCTCAATAGTGCAGGCTAAAAGGGTTGCATTTAAAAGTTTATGGTAAATATTTCTTCGTTGATTTTCTGAAGTTCAAAAGACAAGGTTGTATTCTTTCAATTTATGTTTACATTTCAGATTGAAGTTCATCTGTGTCTTAAAAAAGTATTTTCACAAATACTAAAACATCACAGCTATTGTGTTTACCTCTCTCCAGGCAGATGTGTGACTGCTGTAAGTAGTCTTTTGTAAATTTTAAATAAGACTAATACAGCCTGATTTAAAGGATTCAATGGAGAGAAGACTTGGATTTCAAATGCAGTCTTTGTAAAAAGTGTGAGATCATGTGTAAAGAAACTTGGAAATTTTTACATTTACACAAACATAAGAATATGGTGTACAGTACTTCTCCCACAGTATTCCTCCTTTCAAAAATTAAAAAAAATTCAAAATCTGTTTTCAGTCCTACAGTAATGCTATAATCAGGTATTTTAAAATTACACAGTTCTGTTAACACTTTAGTGCATTATCTCGTACTCTATATATTCAAGGGACTTGAAAAGGCAAGAAGTTTGTAAACACATTTTACTACTGAAATTTATGAGCATTAAAATGTGCGATTAATTATATTCTAAGTACTAGGAGCATTTTTCCAACAACCTTTTAAACTTTGAAAAATTATATCTGTATTTTAGTTCTTTTCTTGGAAAGCTCCAAATATTTACTTTTGTCAGCTATGTAACAAAATAATTATTAGAATTTATTCCAATTTACCATCTGCATTAAAAAGCTTATAAATGTCTTATATTACTCTTCTCTTGATAGACATATAATAAATTTGAACATGTGCCTTGTTGAAAAAAGAAATCAATTCAAGTTTACTTCTGTCTCTACTTTGGCATTTATTCTGGTTTCACTTTTTTGTGCACACAAATTGCTATCAAATTTAATTTGGATGAGACAATTTATAGAAAAATTTTATTACTGTGAAAGTTTTATATGGAGGAACACATACCGAAGTTATGAAGTAGCTAATAATCAGCTAAAATGTAATCAGGTAGTGTAGCATTCACTTTCTTGATTATAATTTTAGTGGTAGTTTTGTACAGGAAGAACTGGCTTGTGTTCCGTGTTTATGAATATCGAAATTATTCTACCTTACAATTGTAAAACTTAATAACTTAATAACCAGATACTAAATTTATATATTTTGAAAGTGGCTGTGGCTAAGAATATGAGAAGCAGATTGGTTTTATGAAAATAAGCAAACACATAAAATGGTGTTTTTAAATATACGTTCAGTTTTAGTTTCTGACAGTTTCTTGTGACCAGTTCATCAGTTTTCCAGATCAGTTTTAAAGCAGGATGCAAAAACTACCTTTTCCACATTAGAAGTTCATATTTAAGTTTCCTTAACTGCAAAATCACTCGAAAACAGAGTGTTTTATGTGAAGGATCTTTTCATGTGTTGGTACCATCGATTAGATATGAATGTATAAAAATCTTGTTTAAAAACCAGTAAAAGTGAGGAAATTCCAAGTCAAGCTAGCTAATTCCATTCATAACTCACCCAGAGTGCCTGCCTTAGGAAACTTGCAAACAGTTTATAGCTATTCGTACAAAATAAGTTGCCTTGCTTTGTAAGTGGGAAACAGTTCATTTTGACCTTGTTGCTCAGAAAGGCTTATCTTGATAAAAAGTACGGAATGTAGGTTAAGCTTTTTGGTTTCCTAGGATTTTACGATCTCAACCTTTTCTGGAGTTTTGCTCTTGTAAACACAGAAGGACACCTTTTCTGTTCTGAGGTGGCTTTAGCTTTCTCCCTTCCATTTCCTCCTACTTATACATTTGTCCACTAATTCTTCCAAGTCCTGGCGGTGGGCGCGGCCCTGCAAAGAGAAAGCATATGCCATTTCTCAGCTCTTTTTACCCTCCCCCCCTTTTACGCTGAGCACAAGATTTTAAAACTGACACATGACTCAAACTGCTACATCCACAGCCTTAAGGACTTTTGGGAACTGGCAAGAAAATCCATAGACTTTGCATTCTGAGCTGGGAAAAACAACCGGGGAATCCCATGACTTGATACTGGGGAGCTTCCAGGCCATCTCTCAGACCTTAAGCGGTTTCTCCATCTGCTTGTTTTCCAAGATTGCACTGCAGGCTGATGATACCTTCCTTTGGTTTCGATGATCAGGAGACTTTAAAACTTTTTCAAGGAGTTTCTTAAACATTCTGAGGAATTGTAATTTTTAAACCAGACTAATTTTAACCATGAAAACTGCCCCAGAGAGAGAGACTTTACTTCCTAGTAACTTCAGTCTGATACTAACTCAAGTGACTTTTAAAAAATTTAAACACATGGCTTTCTGGTGGAAAAGGCTGCCATCTACTTAGAGTAGGAATCTCAGGACCAGCTAATATCCACCAAGCACGCTCCATTAAACTGGAACAAACATGACGCTGAATTACTGGCTCCCTGTTTTCCTG